CAGCAGCGGATGTTCTACGAGATGCTGGGCGACTTGGCGGACTTGGAAGAGGGGCAGCTCGGCAATTTAGTCATGCACGCAGAGGGCCACCTCGCCACCGCGCAGTCGCGTGGCTTTACGGCGCAGCAGAAGAACTTCACGGCGTGGGCCAAGAAGGCATGGGCAGGCAAAGTTGGCCTCCTCCATCGGCATGTGAAGGAGCAGCAGGCGCCGAGGTTCGAGCTGTGCACGGAGGAGATGGAGGGCATCGCGGACCCAGACGCCCTCATTGGCATCAGGAAGCACGAGTGGGAGCGCATATGGACGGACCCAGTCGATACGAAGGAGGACATCGCGTACCAGCTGGGCAGGCTCCGCGATCAGTCCTGGGAGCACGTGCTGGAGCCCCTCACGCTGGAGCAGCTCGACGGGGCCATCGCCGCGTCGTCGTCGGCCAAAGCAAAAGGAGTTGATCACCTTGGTCCGCACGATCTGGCTCGGGCCCCCAGACATGCAAGAATATGGTTACTTCACATCTTACAGTATTGCGAGCAGGAGGTCACATGGCCGAGGCAATGGGCAGCCACCAAGTGCGCGCTGGCGGCCAAGCCCAAAGGAGGAGATCGAGTACTCGGAATGCTGGCCCTTCCCATCAAGCTCTGGTCAAGGGCTCGGGGAGGTTGCTGCTCAGAATGGAATGATTCGGTATCGGCCCATTGGGACACAGCCCTCAAAGGCAGCTCAGCCCTCCGTGCGGGGCTCCTCAGGGCGTGCCTGGACGAAGTGGGGGCAGAGCTCGGGGCATCGGCGATGACGCTACTGTTGGACATCGAGAAGTTCTACGACACGGTCTCGCTCGTCATCCTGTCCCAGATCGCCCTCAGAGTGGACTTTCCCGCAGTGGTGGTGGCGTTAGAGATCACCGCTTTCGTGGGGCCGAGGTACCTGCAGGAGCGTAACATCCTCAGCGAGGCGATCTGGTCCACGAGGTCTTTGGTAGCAGGCTCTGCCAGAGGCGTGGGGTTGGCGAAGCTGTTCTTGCACCCGATATTAGAGAGGGCGCATCGGAGGGCGCCACAAGCTGCGCTGTGGACATTCGTGGATGACACGGTTGCGAGGCAAGAAGGTAGCAGGCAAACAGTCGGCGATGGCATCATCCAGGTCACGGAGATCATCACGGACGGCCTCAAGGATCAGAGGATGAAGATCTCCAGCAAGTCTGTCCTGATAGGCACCCACCCGAAGGACGTGAAGCGGACGGCCAAGTCCATGAGGAAGAGGCAGATCCCCGTCTACGCAGTCACGGAGGCAGTGGACCTAGGCCTGGACACGTCGGCTGGGAGGAAAATGGTTACGACGAAAGCGAAGCAGCGAGCAAAGCGGGCGAAGCACAGATTCGCCAAGATTGTGAGGCTGCGACGTACTGCGGCCCTGGCCAATGAGAGCAAAGGTTTATGGAAGGCGGGAGCAGTACCACAGGCAGTGTACGGCCACCAAGCCTTCGGGTTCGCAGTTCATGAGCTTCAACGGCTACGACGACAAGCTGGACAGGTGGCAGGAGGTAAGGCGCGTGGGCGATGCTTGACGACGACACTGGCGGTCGAGCTGTGGAAGGGCGACCCAGGGGTGGCAATGCGAGTTGCCGTGGTCAAGGAGTGGATCAACCTGTGGCAGCGCCACCCCGAGAACCACGCCAGGATCGTCAAGGCATGGCCGCGGATATTCGACCGTCTGTCAAAGCTTGGGCCAAAACGATGGAGAGGAGTTCGCGGACCAGTCGGAGCGGTGCAGGCGACCATCATGGACGTGGGCTGGTACGCACCAACGGCTACGGTGTGGATGCGACCAGTCGGAGCAGATGAGGATCCAGCAGAACAGTGGGACATCCCGTCCGTCACGGACGGCACTTTCGACAACACGGGGTGCTTCCAGCAGCTGGTAGACGACTTCGAGGACGACATCGTAGCTCAACACTGGAAGGCTGCTGCAGCACACCCACATGGTGAAGGTTTGGAGGATGGAGCGGACGTCTGGCAGATCCGCGCGGAGCAGCGAAGGTTCGAGAAGCAGGGGCAGCTGGACATGGTCGGGGCCAACATCACCGTGGTCGCGGGAGGACAGTGGCCGAAGCAGCGATCTGTCGACCAAGGATACCTCCTGGACTGTAAGAAGTGCGACAGGTGCAAGGAGGAGGACGAGACCCTGATGCATCGGATCTGGCTATGCCCCAAGAACGTGGACCACGAGGACTTCACCAAGTCGGCGGACCTGCTGCCGGCTGCGATGGCGCAGGCAGAAGCTGAGCCTGCGCTGTGGCTTCGAGGATTGCCGCCAGCCTCTCTCACGCACCCTAGGTTTAATGATGAACTGTTAGAGGGGAGGGAGGTTCGGTTTGGTGAGCTGGGGGACTGGGGGGAGTGTCAGCACGAAGGTGAGATCCACATTTTCGGCGACGGCTCAGGAGGCAAGCACTCCTCGGACCCTCGCAGACGCCGCTGTGGATCAGCGATTGTAGCATTGCAGGAGCGAGATGGGGAGTGGATTGTGGGCAGAGCTGTAGCAATCCCACTCCTCGGTCGCAGGCAAACGGTCCCCCGCTCGGAGATTTTAGCGTTCGCTTTGGCACTCGAGGAGTGCCACGCAGATTTTAGTTTCATTACCGACCATAGGACGATCGCGAAGACCTGGAAATACCGCCTGGAGCACCCGAAAGCCACGGGTCCCAATGAGGACCTTTGGGCCCGAGCCAGAGTGGCCTGGCAGACTTACCCAGACAGAGTTGTGAAGGTAGTGTGGACGGCGTCCCATCTGGACGAGACGCCAGAGCTGCTTGAATCGCCGCAGCAGCTTTTCATGGCAGCTGGGAATTTAGCTGCGGATGTCTGGGCGGGAGTCGGGGCGGAGCTGGCTTGGGAGTTCGGGCTGGTGGGGAGCGTTCCAGAGACTGACAAGATAGATGCGATCGCACATCTCGTGCGCAAGAGAGCGCGCAGATCTTTGCTACTTGCCGCTGCGTCGGAGACGTCAGAGCGTGCAGGTAGAGCCCCAGCCAGTAAGAGACTTTTAAAGCAGGAGAGATTGATTCGAGATTCTCCCCACCAGCTAGAGCGAGTAGGAAGCAAATGGAGGTGCTCTCAGTGCGATGTGATTGTGACTGGAGCCAGGTTTTTGCGTTTTTCGGTCTCCCCGTGTGCTGGGCCCCCTGGTAAAAGCAGGTCGGAGGTCCCAGAGTTCCAGCCGTTTAAAGGAGTGGACCTTGAGATCCACGATTCCCACACTATCACCAGGGTTGACCGCTGGTTCTTGCAGATTTGTTCGGCTTGCGGTATGTATGCGACAGTGGACTCGAGGTCCTTGCGTCAGAAGTGTAGAGGTCTCACACCGAACGGTGCAGAGAATATCCGTCGAATTGAATTAGGTCTTTTCCCTCGGCGTGAGGGGCCCCCCAGAGCCATCAAGATGGCCATAGCTCGCAGAGATGAGAGTCGTGTCGTGTCGGCCCACGAGGCCTGGGGGTCGCAGGAGAACAGCGAGCTTGGGGGGGGCCCCGCCGAGCCTCCCGCGGTGACCCGCGCCCGCAACGACGGGCACGAGCGGGAGCAGCTGCGTTGTGCTGCCAACGAGTCGCGCTTGCAGGCTAAGGTTCAGAGATTGTTGGCTGCTGCGAGAGGCGCGGCTGAGCAAGTGCGGGCGCCGCGGGAGGATTCAGAGTCTTCCGATTGACGGCTGATGTCCGTAAGCCAGGACGAAGACTGAGGGACAGAGGTCCGAGAGCAAAGAGGTCCAAAGAGGTCCTCTCCTCCTCCTCCTCCTTCTCCTCCTCCTCCGCCTCCTCCGCCCTTTCCTTCTCCCTTTCCTCCTCTCCCGCCTCCACCTCCTCCTCCTCCTCCTCCTCCTCCTCCTCCTCCTTCACTGCCTTCCTTTCGTCCACCTGGGGGGGCGCGTCCGGGATGCTCTCGCGAACTCGCGGGGGACGGGCTGTCCGATGGGTCGCAACGAGATCCGGTCGGCGTGGATGGATCAAATATTGCCAGCCGCGCACATGATATATAATTGCACATATAGGTGTATATATACTATGTATGTATGTGTATTATATATGTATATATATATACATATATATAGGGGGGGCGATCCAAAAAGGGCCTTGCTTTCGAGGAGTTGTCACCTCTTCCGCCGCGGAAGGTGGCGGAAGGGCGGCGGAAGGTCGGCGGAAGTAAAACGAAGCCGCCTCCGCCAGCGGAGGCCTGCGGAAGCTCGGCGGAAGGCGGCAGAAGTGAAAAATGCGCCCCCAAGAGATGAACACGTTTTTGGGTTCAGGATTTTCGAAATCCGCCATCTGTGTGCGACGAATGTGTCATGTAAATTGGCGCATGGCTGGCAGAGCCATCGGGAATGCCCACACAACGCGTTTGTCTTGTCTCCCTCTTCCTCTTTCTTCTCCTCCTCCTCTTCTTCCTCCCTCGTCTCGACACGGCGCGGGGGGCTTCGAGGATTCAACGGGGAGGCCCGCCGCAGGCTCCGTCGGGCCCCGTCAGCGCCGCCAAGGCCCACCAGAGGGGGAGAGAGCCCACATCCTGGTCTGGACTCGCATGGCTTGGAGGTGCACGGTCTGCTGCAGGTATGCCTTGTCCCCCAAGGCCAAGAGGGCCCTGAATCGTCGATCCTCAGGAAAAATATGGACAACCTCCCAGACATCATTCGCGTCGTAGGCAAGGATCAGGGCGGCGGGTTGTCGGCCGCTTTCGGCCTCGTGGGTCCCTCGCTGGGCCTCGGGAGCGTCAAGAGACGATTCAGGATGAAAAACCGACCCTGGGGAAAGGGTCTGGACTTCCGGGGACGCCGCCCTGAAACAAGCAGGACGTCGCATGTCTGGGATGGGAAGCGCAGGGGAAGACGACCACCCAGAACATAATTATGGAACAGGCGGGGAATCCTGGGGTCTTTTCTGTGTCTCTTGATGCGTGTCCCTGGGCCCCTTCCTCAGCCTCCCCCCTCCCTCCCGGCCGTCCGCCCTGCCCAGCGGCTTTGCCTGCCCGCAGCTCCGGCGGCCCCTCCCAGCCTCGGCCACGCGCAGAGGGGAAGGCTTCTCAGAAGGAGACAGACAGGCAATGACATGAGCAAAGAAACTCGGAGGTCCGCGCGGATGCCTCGGATTGGCGCGGGACCCCCTCCCTGGCGCGCGGAGCGCCCCAGCGGCGGCGCTGGAGGCACCGCTAGGGCGGTGCGGGCGCCGATCCGAGGAACCCGCGCAGACCTCCGAGGCTTACGTCACTGTTTGTTCCCTGATTGGCGGCGCGCGCGAGGGGGCAGGGGGAGGGGGAAAGGCTTCTTAGAAGGAGGCTCCTGCTTAGAAGGAGGCTCCTGCTTAGAAGGAGGCTCCTGCTTAGGAGGCTCCTTCTTAGAAGGAGGCTCCCGCGCCCTCTGAGAAGCAGGGGTGCTTCGAAGAAGCCTTCCCCCCTCCCCCTACCCCCCTCTGCGCGTGGCCGACCCTCCCAGCCATCCGGCGCCTTGAGTTTCTCACTGCGGGGTCCCTGGAGGTCTGGACCTTCTCCCCAGGGCCGCTTCTCCGTCCCGAGTCGTTTCCTGACGGCCCCGGGGCCCAGCGAGGGCCCCCAGAGTCCGAAAGTTGCAGACAAGAAAAAGGCCTCCGCTTGGAGTTCCTCGCGACGTGGGAGGTCTGGGCTCGACACCCCTCCTCAGAGGAGGGCCAGCCGAGTCAATCGCGGCTCTCCCGACTGGCCCAGATCGGGTCCAGAGCGGCCCCGGGGACCCCTCCCCAGGAGCCATCCTGACCCGTTTTTGTTCGAGGCGGACGCGGCCGTGGCGGCGAGAGACCTCCCAGGAGGTCGGCGATCGACGGAGCCATGCTGACCCATTTTTCGAGGCGGATGCCAGCCGTGGCGACGAAAGACCTAGGAGGTCGGCGATCGACGCCGGCCCTGCTGCTCCCCCCCGCAGCAGGGCATGGATTAAAGAATCGGCGGCCACGTGCGAAACCTACCCCACCCCCACCCCTTCGAAACCATGGGTGGGGTGGGGTAGAATTCGCATCACGTGGTTTCCGAAAGAAAGTGGCTCCGGAGGCCGGCATGTATCCGTGCCGCCGCTCTGGGCCCTCGTGGCGTGGATATATATATATATATATATATATATATATATATATACTTGTTGCGCTCCGCGCGGATTTCTTGGATACGCGCTGGGATCCCCCTGGCGGCGCCTCTGGCCCCGCCCCTGGCGCGCTCCGCGTGCCTGGAAGGAGGGTCCCGCGCAGGTCCAAGAAATGGGCACGGAGCGCCAAAAAATCATGTTTATGCCGTTCGTTCTTCTTCTGATGTTTGCTATTTCGGATACGGGCCGACGTTCGCGCGGCGGTGCTCCGGCGCAAGTCGGGCGTACATCCGACGTGCATCCGACGCAATCCGACGAGAGCCCGACGCAACTTCGACGTGACCTGGGTCTCAAGCGGCCGCGCGAGGCCTCCAGGGCTGATTTTCCTCAGAACGACTCGACTGGCCCACCCCCGAAGCTTCGACCCCCCCCCTTCGCCGCCATGGCGCTGATGGGACGCACGCTGCGGCTGCTGCCCGCTGCGGCCAAGGCCCCCCCCTCCCCACGGAGGGCGCCGGAGCACGGCCCGCCGGCCTGGCGCGCGCTGCCGTTCGTCGTGCTGCCTTTCGTCGTCGTCGTCGTTGTCGTTGTCGTCGTCGTCGTAGGAGGAGGAGGAGGAGGAGGAGGACGGAGGACGGAGGACGGAGGAGGAGGAGGACGAGGAGGAGTATGTAGGAGGAGTATGTAGGAGTATGTAGGAGGAGGAGGAGGAGGAGGAGGAGGAGGAGGAGGAGGAGGAGTTTGTAGGTGGAGGAGGAGGAGGAGTATGTAGGAGCGGGAGGAGGAGGAGGAGGAGGAGCAGGAGGAGGAGGAGGAGGAGGAGGAGCAGGACGAGGAGGATAAGAAGGGGAGGAGGACCAGTGTAAAACAAAGACTCATCAACGATTTTGGAATACACCCTCCCTCCAGGCACCCCCTTCATAGGCCCCTACAAGTGTTCATGTCCACTGAGGGGATCCGCCTCGTTGGGAGACAACCATCTGAAGACCCTGAAGCGTGCCAAAAGATCATTCTTGGAACTCCAATGCCACGGATCAACATGACTGTTGCGTCATGGCGATCTGGAATCGTGCCAGATGACCATCCTGCGACGTCAACACCGTAAATCAACATAATTGTTGCGCCCTCATAAGATTGAGTTCTTCGAAAACACCGTTTCTGGCACGCTGCCCATGGGAATCCGTGAAGCTCTTGCAAATGTGTAGCAAGATTGAGCGGGGCGCTAGGGCGAAAGCCACATTCTGAAAACGAGCCACCCTCATTCTGCGCGGCGCTAGGGCAAGAGCCACATTTTGAAAGCTACCCGCCCTCAATCCTTGAAATTCTTGCAATGTTTTAGAGCGGATGTGCGCGGCGCTCAGGCGAGAGCCACATTTTGAAAGCCACCCGCCCTCAATCCGTGAAGCTTTGCAATTATACACAAACGAGCGTGCACCGCGCTGCGGCGAGAGCCACATTTTGAAAACGGCCCGCCCTCCATTTGTGAAATTGTTGCCAACATTTCATTTGCATTGTCATGGATGATGAGGAAGTCTGGGGCGAAACGCTCAGCCCGCCCTTTCAACCGGCCTCGGGGTGCGACAGGGAGGAGTTGCTTATAAGAGACAGGACCTCAGGGGATATAAGGAGGAGGGGGAGGAGGAGGAGCAGGAGGAGGAGGAGGAGGAGGAGGAGGAGGAGGAGGAGAAGGAGAGGAGGAGGAGGGGGGGGGAGGACGAAAAGGAGGAGGAGGAGGAAGAACAGGAGGTGAGGGAGGAGGATGAGTAGGAGGAGCAGGAGCAGGAGGAGGATGACGAAGAGGAGGAGCAGGAGGAGGAGGAGGAGGATAATAACTAAAAGGAGCACGAGGAGGAGGAGGAGGAGGAGGAGAAGGAGGAGGAGGAGGAGCACGAGCAGGAGGAGCAGGAGGAGGAGGAGGCGGAGGAGGAGAGGAGGAAAAGGACGAAAAGGAGAAGAGGAGGAGGAGGAGGAGGAGGAGGAGGAGGAGAAGAACGAAGAGGAGGACGAGGACGAGGACGAAGAGGAGGAGGGCGCTGATGGGGCGCACGCTGCGGTTGCTGCCCGCCGCGGCCAAGGCACCCCCCTTCGGCCTTCGGCGCCCGCGGCCGATTGCCTCGGGCCGCCGTCGGCTGCCGCCGCCGTCGCAGCGCTGCGGGTCGCCGCCGCCGACGCCCTCGAGCGGCCGTCGGCGACGGCGGCCCTCGGCGGCCCTCGGCGGCCCTCGGAGGCCCGTCGGAGGACCCCCTCGGCGGACTTCGGAGGCCCTTCGGAGGCCCTCCTCCTCGTCTTCCTCCTCCTCCTCCTCCTCCTCCTCCTCCTGCTCCTGCTCCTCCTCCTCCCCCTCCTCCTCCTCCCCCTCCTCCGCCTCCTCCGCTCAAGTAACATCCGGGTTCGAACCCCGCTTGGGCTGGAGAGCCCAGTTCCCGTGCGTGCGCGCGGTACTTGAGGCACTATGGTTTCGTTTCTCGTTTCCGAGGGACCGAACGTCGACAATAACAGGTGTGTAGGTGATGGTGAGTGGAGTAGCCGTAACGAGGACTTTCCCCCACATATATAGATTACACACGAAAGGTACTTGGTGAAGGTTCCATCTGAAGAATACCAACTCCCATCTCGCAAGCCGCAGCCATCATCTCAGATCGTTTGAACGCACTCGGCGACATGTCCAGGGTAATCCAGCCAGACTTTGCCGTAACTCTGTGGACCGAGGTCCAACACTTAGCAGGGATGCCCAGCCTCCTCGCAATGTTGGTACGTAAGGTGAGATACTCAGTACAATCCGAGAACACGTGTCTGAAACTCGGCCACGAAGCTCCGCAGTGAGCGCAGGGCCGTCCCGTTTTTGGTCTCGTTGTGCGTGCCACCGTGGCGAATATAATGATGTGCTAGTGGCGAGAGATCGAGTGGGTTTAGGATGCAGTCGGAATGTCAAACTGCACAAACCTCGTCCAGGTTGCGCAGTCGCGGCAGCGCAGCAGATGCAGTCGGCAGGATCTGGCGGCACGGAGGCGCCAGGCGGCAAGGGCAAGGACAACCCCAAGACACAAATAGCAGCTGACCATCACGCAAAGTGTCCCCGAGTTGCCCCGCTGACTCAGAAGGACAGAGGATCCAACATTGAAGCAGGTGCTCGAGGCGCAGGTCCAGAAGCTCACGCTCGAGACGGCCGCCGCGGGGGGCCCAGCTGAGGTCCTCAAGCGCGCCGTGAGCGCCTTAAAGGACGCGCCCCACAAGCGTTCCCAGGCGGCATCGCACGCGGTTGGCCTGGAGGCCAATTTGGAGCAGGCCCGCGTCAAGGAGAAGGCAGCAGCCATTTCCTTGGCCCAGGCCGGAAGGCCAAGAAGTCGGCGGCGGAGGCGCTCGCGCTCGCGGAGGACATCTCCACGCAGCGCGCCGACCCCAGCTCCAGGCCCAAGTTCGTGGTCAGCTGGAACCGCGAGCTCTTCGACGGCATCGGGGAGCTTGAATGCGAGGAGGCAGAACGGGCCACCCTTCAGGATAAGTCAGATCCGATTTGGAGGGGCTTGCCATACTGATCACAACAAAGGAAGCAAAGGCCACGGACATGCTGGCCAAGGCCCAGGAGATCCAGTCGTTCGCGGACCGCTACAACAAGAACAGGGAGGTGCAGCAGGCGGCGGCGGAGGCGGCGCAGCCCGAGGGAGCCTCCCCCAAAGGTGGTGCATGCGCGGTCAAAGGCGGTTCGCCCAGCCCCGCCGCGGAGGCTTCGGTCCCACCAGACGCCCCCTCGGCAACGGCAGCCGCGGCGGCGCAACCGGCAGGAGAGGAGAACGACACGGAACTAACGGAGGCGGCTGCGTGCCTCCCCCAGACCAAACGCGAGGCGCAGCTGAAGGCCTTAGCTGAAGAGAGCGCCAACTCCAAGGGCAGCTCGCTTGGCAAAGGCAAGGGCGCCCCCGCCACCACCGGCAAGGGCGTCAACTCGCAGGTGACTGCGTCGCCACTGTGACTAGCTGAACCATCCACGACAGCGGCGACGAGTTCACAGCCAGTCCCATCTCAGATGGGACTGGCTGTCGAGTCGCAGTCACAGATGATCTGTGACTGCGACGAGCTCATCGGTCTTGGCAGTATATCACTACCCCAGGCTTCGACTATATAGCTGCAGTCGAGACGCATGCTGGTGCCAAAGAAGTGGTCACTGGGGGCAGTAAGGCTCGAGCTGCAGGATACCGTTCACTATGCAATCCAGCCCGCAGCCTCTTGCGCAAGGTGTCGCAGGGCGCATGCGGCTCGCGCGAATGAGGGCGGCGAGCGGGTGCTCGCCAAGAGTCATCTGCAGGTGCAGTCAGCGCTAGCCGAGGCAGCAGCTCGTCCTTTACGCGCCACTGGGCACTCATATATTGACGGAGTTCAGCCTGTCATAGTTCATCTTAGTGGACACTCAGTTGCTATCGTGGCCTTTTACGCCTTTCCATACAGCGGGCTTGCTGGGGGCCACTCTAGCCAGGTATCGCAAGCTTGGCACACTGGCCAACGCACTCAGCATCCCTTGGATCATTGTGAGCGAATTCAACATCAACGCGTCGTCGCTCGAAGTCCTCATTTCTGCGGCAGATGCGTGGGCAGCCCATCATCGCGACGTCCGATGTGGAGACCACGCGCAACCTCGGTCGCAATGACAGCAGCCACATCGATCACCCGGTGGTCTCAGAGGATGCGAGAACCTTCCTCCATTCTGTTCAAGCGGTCGTGGGAGTTCCGTGGGAACCACATCTCGGTCTACTCATTCGCCTCCGTCGCGGTGGTCGGCAGTTCCGAGCACGGTACCTCGACATGCCTCAGAGGTTGCCGCGGGCGGCGAGGCCTGCGGCTCCGGCGCCTGGCTCGAAGATGTCGGCAGCACAGGCAGGGAGGCTCGAGCGACAGGGGCAGAGAGCGATTCCGAGACAAAATCAGGTTGACAAATTTATCGGTGAGCTGTTATCATCATCGTCTGCGTCTGCCTCCAGCCTCGGTCGACGCAGTCAGCGCAGCAGAACCTAGTTCAACTTCGGAAGAGCTTGACTGTCCGGAGTCTTGGAATCCCGACGAGGAACCATGCGAGGATTCCGTTTTCCCAGCGGGCTATGGGGGGCGGTCCGAGGGAGGGGGCCCGCGGGCCCAGGAGTCCGAGTTTCAACCCACCTAGAGTGTTTTAAGGGCTGCGTCTGCTAAGCCCCAGGTCGCACCACAGAGTTCGACGGTTGAGCGATCTCCGAAGACCGAGGTCCGCCCCGCCAGAATTGATGTCCAAGACCCCCCGCAATCTGAATGCAGCAACGCTTCGAACTCCGACGGCCGACCCGCCCCTATTCCTCCCCCTCCGCCCCCCCCCCCCCCCCCCCCCCCCCCAGCTTGAATGTGAGTTTTATATTCCCGGGTCGCTTTGGCATGAAAGCGAGCTCGACGCGGGGCGTCAACCGCGCGGTGCCAGTTCCCCCTTTCTGGCGCGTACCTCCACTCCGCAGGATCTTGGCTCAATCCGTC